CAGTGTAATGTATAATATATGAACATATGTATGTATGTCATGTCTCACTATAGTATGTACATATGTACATGTAGTATTTCATAGAGTTCATTCACACATATATATATAAATCATGCATGAACATTTGTATAATACAGACTGTATACGCACAAGAAAAATTATTAGCATTCCATTTAAAACGGAATATGTACATATAAACATACATAGCTTTTTTAAAATTGGATCAAGCGGTTCAAATTTTTTTGAAACATTAGAAGGCCTACTAGACAATTTTTAACAAAATTTTTGCAAAAATTACAATTCACTGAAATGACAAAAAGAAATTTTAAAACGTATAGTTTTTTAACGTTTTTATTTGAGCCTGTAACAAAAATTTAAATGATCCTTAGTTACCAAAGATTGGTGCAAGACACATAAAAACTGTTGTTCTTTAAGTATGTAATATCACATTGTTCTTAAATCATCAAAAATATGTACGTACAACACCATGCACTTTTAGATATGGATCTCATTTGAAAGTTCCATTTATAAAAAATAAAAATGTACTTAAAATACTTTTAAAGTAAAATATGTACGCAATAGTAAATAACAGTAACGATTAATACAGTGGTATATATTGTACTTCAGTAAAAACAATCGCTACATGACCGAACGAATTAAGTGTTCGATAGTACAGTGTTACGTTTCAATCTGAAATTGAACAGGTCAGGTAATAGTACTCACATATACATGTATCTATTTTATTTATACATATGTTGGCACATGTGAATCGTTGCATGCACCTGTATACAATACACATATGTACACATACATAGTTTCACTATGAACAGGCTATAAAACTGCATAGGAGCAACATCTATAATAATGCGTATGTTTTCAGATTTAGGGTAGTCTCGGAGATCCGAGCAGAAGACAAAAAAAGTAAAATTAAATGCGAATTATAGCGCGTTCGTCTCCTCGTTTGTATATCCGTGGCGCGTTTTCGTTCATACGCGGTTCAACAAACACCCAATGTGGCGCTTGAGTTTGGAAGGTTATGGATTAAAGTTTCGGGGTGTGGCATCATATTGTGATTTATAAAATAAATGGAATATCGCGCGTTTGTAATGTAGGGCGACTTTATTTTCTCGACGTGACTAATGCAAAGAATCACCATTAAACAGCTTGTGAGGTGTCCTTGGAATTTCAACCACTATCTGAAAAATTGCTCTTCAGTGGACAGAACATTTTTTAAATGTATTTACAACGGCATTACATTTGTGGCGCCTTGTTCCAAAATTTCTTCACTGCTTATTGAAAGAACAGAAATTTCAAAATGCGTATGATACACGCCGATTAATTTGCATATTGATGAGTGTTTACGTGAAACGTTGACACAAGGTAGTTGATCGTTGCTTGATAGGATACGGTCCATGAAATCACGTGTATTAAAATCTACGTGGGATGTTGGGCGCTATCACCCCCACGCAGTCCCACGAGTACACCGAAATGTCCCGGTTAGCCGACTACTTTGTTGTGGTCGGCTACGACCACGAAAAAGAGAGTAAGTTCTCTGTTTGTCAAAGTAGTTTATCCCGAAATTACGTCAGTGTTCTTGACATACATTGTTAATAAACACTTAATACGTGACAGTAATTGTACGCTGTTACAATAAAGTATTACCTATGACAATATTTAAATTATTTCTTACATAAATGAATAATAATTATGTGATCCTTTTTAAAAAAAAGTACTACTACCTGATTCATTAATCTTACACATTAATAATTGTAATTTATTTTGTTTCCTCATTCCTTAGTGTAAAAATCACTAATGTTGAACTAAAGTTCTTTTGCCATAAAAAGTATTAGGTAAAATGTATACAGTAAATTCTTCTCCAGCTTGTAAACAAAAATGGATAATTTGGGAAGAGGAAATATAATTATTCCATCCTTGCGCCTTGAATAATCGTATCTACTCTTCTCAAATTGTCCATTTTTGTTTATAAGCTGAAGGACAATTGGGAAAAATTTACTGTACATTGTGAACAATAGTATTTTAAATTCTATATAATTATTTGTCTTATCATAGGAGGAGGTATAAGTAATGGAATTATTCTGCAAAGATTTCCGGAGAAAGATTGGCCAGATACACCATTCATCGAAGGAATAGAATGGGTAAGATATCATTGTATCTTCAAATTAATATTGTTCCAGTTTAATTTTGTATTTTTTTATAGTTTTGTCAACCACAAGGATGGGCTTTATCTACAGAAAGACAAGAACCACGGTTTTTTGTGTCTATTTTAACTGATATTGATGCAAATCGTCATTACTGTGCATGTATGTGTTTTAATGAGACAGTGTCGATTGTGCCAAGTAAACCTGTAGATGAAGAAGAAGATCCTGTAGATGGTGATAGTCGTTCATTGGTTAGAACAATACCTACAATTGCACATCACAGCATTATGTATGCACCCAAATGTCTGGTGCTGGTTTCCAGACTCGATTACATTGAAACTTTTAGAGTATGTCTGAACTTTTATATATATTATATGTTTATATACTTTTATGAGCAACATACATATTTTGAAATGTTTATTTCAGAATTGCCTTGGTATAATATATACTGTATATGTAGAAAATCATGGTATACCATTAGAAACTTTGGTAGGAAATATATTAGGTTGCATACAAGTACCACCTGCTGGTGGGCCACAAGTACGATTCAGCATTGGCGCAGGTGACCGTCAAGCGCTTCAACCTCCAATTAGTCCTTCTCTTCCATTAACTCATACTAGTGTAAATCTTTTATTTCAACAGTTAGGTAAGAATCAAAGACCGTTGATACATAAATATTGCTGTAATGATTTTAGATTTATCTGTGTGCTTTTTTATTGTATAGGTATTCGCAATGTGTTAGTATTATTTTGTGCTGTTATGACGGAACATAAAATACTTTTCCATTCTGCAAGTTATTCCCGATTGACTGAAGGATGTCGTGCTCTTACTGCACTAATGTATCCATTTAGATACACACATGTTTACATTCCTCTTTTGCCAGCAGCTTTGGTTGAAGTACTGAGCACGCCTACTCCTTTCATTATGGGTGTGCACAGCTCATTAAAATATGAAGTTGCAGAACTTGTAAGACGTGATTCCATACACTACCTTCGTAGATTATTTAATTATCTTACCTATACATTTATTATCTTTTATAGATGGATGTAATAGTTGCCGATTTAGATGGAGGTTCTATCATGGTTCCAGATGGTGTCTCACTTCCATTGCTCCCAGAACCACTTCTTTCACAGACACAGGATGCATTATCCTTAGTACTGCAGCCAGAATTACTTTGCGCAGATTATGCCTTTCCACCGCTTGCAACAAGAGCTCCTCATTCTCCTATGTTAGACAAAGAAATAAGAGCAGTTTTTATGAGAACATTTGCTCAATTGTTACAAGGCTATAGGAGCTGTCTAACACTAATAAGAATTCATCCCAAACCTGTTATTACATTTCACAAGGTTTTTATTAGTATTTTTTTAACTCTCCTCAATTGTATATAAAGAGTAAACTTTAACCAAAATTGTATTTTTCATATTTCTAGGCAGCTTTCTTAGGGGAGCGAGGCTTGACAGATTGTGATTTCACGACTAGAGTTTTGGATTGTATGTTTTTTACTTCATTTATTGCAGAAAGGGGACCACCATGGAGAGCTTGCGACGTGTGGGACGAACTGTATAGTAATTTGAGTGATCAATTGAAACAAGAAGCACAAGATCATAGTAAGTAGTAATAACATAATATAACTAATAAAAATTATATCTATGTTAAATATCATGGTCTTATTTTGTGTATGCCTAATATTATGTAATAATGATTAAATTATGTTATTGCTAGGACTTGTCTTAACGCATATTCAAGAATTAGCACAACAATTGTACACAAATGAAAATCCAAATCCTCAACCATACGTACAAAAGATTTTGAAACCACCCGAAGGAGCATTTGCTAGAATACATCAGCCACTTTTGCCACGCATCAATCCAGAGCAAGTTCAAGCAATTATAGATGAAGGTCTTGCCAAGAATAATCTCAAAGTTAGGTTTGTATTACATTTTGTTGCTACATATCGTTTTACTTTGAAACACTTCGTATATCATTTTAATTTTGTTTTTGAATAGATTATCATCATTGAGGCCATCTCAACCTCGTATTGTACCTATGGGTCCACATATCTCATTTGTTCATGACACTAGACATTTGGTCAGTAATTCTGCACGTAGACTTGAAGTTCTTCGCAACTGTATAAACTGTATATTTGAGAATAAAATATCGGACGCTCGGAAAACTTTTCCAGCTGTACTAAGAACGTTAAAGAGTAAAGCTGCTCGTTTAGCGCTTTGCATGGAATTATCACAACACGTTGTTGGGAACAAAGCGATGTTAGAGCATCAACAATTTGATCTTGTAGTCCGTTTGATGAATTGTGCTTTACAAGATGATTCTTCAATGGACGAACACGGAGTTGCTGCCGCGCTTTTGCCTCTTGCCACAGCATTTTGTAGGAAACTATGCACAGGAGTGATCCAATTCGCTTACACATGCATTCAAGAACATCCTGTATGGCAAAACCAACAATTTTGGGAGGACGCTTTTTATTTGGACGTTCAAAAAGATATAAAACGATTATATCTCCCAGGAGAAAATTCTCCTCCACGACTCATGAATGATGGTATTTTAAGTCCAATAAGCCCGCGGGATGGCAAAGAATTTCCCTTTCGTGACCGGTATTCAATTTATCAAATTCAAGAACCGTCAGCTCTTGAAATAGCTGCTGAACAAATGAGGATTTGGCCAACGATTGATCCAGAGAAACAAAAGGAACTTATTGCAAGCGAGGAAAGTACTATGTATAGTCAAGCAATCCATTATGCAAATAGAATGGTGTATTTACTGGTTCCATTGGACATAGCAGCAAAGACTCATCGCCAAGATAACATTTACGACGATGAAAGAGCAAGTAACAGCATCACGAATAGTGTGGCAAGTGACAGCGGCGATGCAGAGTCCGGGTTTGAGGAAACTGATCCTGGAGAAACTGGTTGCGCTGTTATTCGAATGGTTTCCCGATTTGTAGATCGTGTTTGTACAGAAGGAGGTGTAAGTGCTGAACATGTAAGATGTCTACATCAAATGGTTCCTGGTGTTGTCCATATGCACATCGAGACTCTCGAAGCTGTACATAGAGAAAGCAAAAGATTGCCTCCGATACAGAAGCCTAAGATCTTGACACCTAACATGTTGCCTGGCGAAGAAGTTATTATGGACGGTTTACGTGTTTACCTTTTACCAGATGGGAGAGAAGAAAGTCCAGCAGGATTACCAAAGATACCACCACTCTTGCCAGCAGAAGGAGCAATATTCCTCACTAATTACAGAATTGTGTTTAAAGGAATACCTTGTGATCCGTTTGCCTGTGAACAGTTAGTAGTTCGTGCCTTTCCTGTCACATCGTTGACGAAGGAAAAACGAGTCGCTGTACAACACTTAGCGCACTTAGATCAGTGTTTACAAGAAGGCCTTCAATTACGTTCTTGCACTTTCCAGTTAATAAAATTAGCATTCGATGAAGAAGTTACACCTGAGAATATTGAAACTTTAAGAAAGTTAGTTCATAAAGCTCGATATCCGCCACATATTTTTCATCACTTTGCTTTTAATGGACAAGTATTGGTGACTCCGACAGCGCATCACAAAGGAAAAGAAAAGAATGCTACCCTCAAGTATGTCGACTATTATCGCAGTACGTTTTCACTATTCACTTGTTACAATGTGATCGTTATGTTTCTTTTCAGAGGATTTGCCAAGAAAACTCTTTTGAAAACTGCGCGTAAAGCCGGTTTTAAACCAAAACAGTCGTCGAAAAGACAAAAATATGTCTTGCCAAATATGAACATGATCACTAATAACAAATTTATGACATCGCCTGGTCGAATGAGTTTACCAGTAACAGATAATAATGATTTAAGTCATGACGATGATCTTAGTGGTGAGTTCTATTATATAATCATATTAATAGATTCTTTATTATATTTCCAAAAGTATTGATACTTTGAATGTTTGCAGTAGATGACTTTGAAATGCCGGGCATTGTAACTCAACCCCAGCCACCAACCGATGCAAAAACCTTAGAGCGATTATCTGAACGTAGTTATGTAAGGGATTGGTATCGTTTGGGATTATATTCAAATGGGCCGCACAGTAATCGTAGGAACGAACCGTTTCGGTTGTCTTCGGTGAATTGTGCCTATATGATTTGTAGGAGCTACCCCGCGCTCCTTATAGTTCCTTCATCGGTATCAGACGAAAGTATCCGCAGATTTTGTCGACTTTATAGACACAATAGAATACCAGTTATCACTTGGAGACATCCAAGAACAAAAGCGCTTCTTATCAGAGGCGCAGGTTATCATGGGAAGGGTGTCATAGGCATGTTGAAAGCTCATCCAGCATCTGCTGCTAATTTGAAAGGTATAACCATCGCTAACAGAGATCTTTATAGATTTATTATTTTGTCATCATATTTAAGTGTTCGTTTATGTCGACAGCAACATCTTCAGAAACAACGTCATCCCTGGAACAGGAAAAGTACATAATGGCACTTGTAGCTGCGACTCCATTATCTGCGTTGAGACAAGGATCTGCTTGGGGAATGTCTGATAGTTCACTCAGTATTGATTCTTTATTGCTAGCTGCAGAAGATCGCAACGCTACACCTGAACAATCACGGCGAAATCCATTTAATAAAGCCATTGGAACATTAAGGTACATGTTTGACTTTATGCGAGTGCATACGTATAATGTGAAAATAAGATAGAATTAAATAATAATATCTGTTTTATACCACTTGTAGTTCATCAGGCGGTAAAGGTCCTAAAAATTTCGGACGTTGGGGTTCATTGAAAGATAAGAGACATAATTCTCAGGCTTCTTTAACATCAGTCCATCAGCGTGGAACTGTTAGACATTCCGCAGATTCGGATAGTGGTACAGAATGTGTTCATACATTTCAACGGGCTGTATTATACATCCTCGGTGAAAAGGCGCATATGAAAGTAAGATTTTCTGCTCTGTAAAATAATTTTAAATGACTTTACTCTCTTTCTCGTTTTATAAATGAAATTCTCTTAATGTACAAGGGTGTTAAAGCAGAATCAGCGCCGAAAACCGACTTTATTCCAGTCGAATACTATGACGCAAGACATACGAAAGCCGCCTTTAAGAAACTTATGCGGGCTTGTATTCCTAGCTCTCCAAATATAGAACCAGACCAAAGTTTTTATAAGTACGTATATTTTGAAGAAGAATATACAGGGTGTCCCACAATTATTTTAACAGTCGAAAATGAGGGGTAGCTGAGGTCATTTAAAGTAACTTTTTCTTTTGCGCAAATGCAATCTGCGGCTTTGTTTACGAGTTATTACCGAAAAACACTGGCCAATGAGAGGTGACGGTACGAGAGAGAGAGAGAGAGAGAGAGAGAAAGAGTCCGCGAGAGAGTCCGCAGCACGAGGTTTTGACAGAAGGTCGGGACGGTCTCGAGCCGCGTTCGAAGTATTGAACAAGTCACGAAGCGAGAACTTTCCGAATTTTTTTAACTACATAACAGTGACATTTTTAAGAAAAACGCTGTTCACCTTTACTTTAGAAAGTCTGAAGAATATTTACTAATTTTTCGGACTCGAAATAATATGTAGTTTTACCGTGACAGCCGTTTTAATTTTCTGGTGTGCATGACACCTCATGTGTACTATATGAAATTTTTATGCAAGGTGTACAGTGAAGATTAACGAATGATTTGCAAAGCTGATTTAATAATAAATAAGGGACGTAAAGGATTTGTTTATTAGAGAGATATGAAAAATATTATCAGTAAGAAACTCACCCATTTAGTTGAGGATGCATTTGCTGACTCGTACGCACTGACCTCGTACAACGAACAGCTGATCCCAGGTCGATGACCACAACATTTGAGGGATACTGTTGGAGGAACCTCTTATCATAACCATATCTGGTTATTTGCGAAGTTCACTTACACTGCACTGTCACCAAACACTGATCAGTTAATTAATCACTGATAGTCCGAATCACTTGTGGATATTAAGAAAGATCACTGAGACTCGTTCGCGGATAATCGTTTATTCGTCGCGTTCGTTCGGAAGTCGACGTTTCACTGCC